AATCTTATATCTGCTCCTATTATCCCAGAAATATATTCAAACAATAGTAATTAAAAAAATATCTGTCATTTCTGGGTAGTAATTTTGCAGAAATGGTCACAAAAATATATCAGATTACATTAAAAGCCAACATAAAGCTAAACTGGCTAATCTGTAATCAGWTCAACATCAAAGCCCGGCCCCTGAGTTAGTGTCTGTAGTGACCCCTGCCTGTGGAAATTAAATTAAAATAAACTATTGAACCGTTTTTACACAGTTTGAACAGCAGGTGGCGCCACAGCAAATAATAAAAATAAGAAGTTTGTTTACTGTTGAGCTGAGTTACATTTATGTAACCTGCCTTAATGAGCGTGTCATAACTGTATTAGTTATTAAACACGAGTTTTATTCTTTTATTTTATCAGCGAGTTCAGTTTTATTTAAAGTAGAAAGTTTTAAAAAGTTAAAGTGGTAACAAACGTAAAAGAATGAACAAGTTTTTTTAAAACCTCTCAGTCGTAAACTCTAAGTTTAGTCAATGTAATAGTTTCAGTACGTGTTTGTGGTGTGTGTGTGTGTGTGTGTGTGTGTGTGTGTGTGCGTGCGCGTGTGCGTCGTTCAGCACATTCCGTCCTGCTGCTCAGATTTAGCTGCCAGAACACGGACAGGTTTCCTGTTCCAACTCACCTCGACTCACCCAGCAAACACTCACTTTTCCCCCCACAAATCCCACCTCCCATTTCTGAGACAGAATAAACCGTAACAAAAAGAGGGGAGAAAAGCCAGGATTTGGATCTCAAGGAGCAGTTTTATTGTCTGCGTAACTTCGAGATTAATAATCCGCAGAAACAGAAACAGAGAGGGGCCGAAGCAGGCCGGAACAAGTCCATAAAGCTSTCCTGGAATTTAATGCACCTCTTTTTAAAGTGTTCACAACTGTTTCTCATGTCAAAACAAAGAGYAAAAAGCCATTTGGGTCGATTAAAAAGAGACTTTTCGTCGAGCAAAGCAAACACAAAGTGCGCAGAGGAAATTAGACAAACCGGTCCTGTTGCGCCACCACTGAGCCCAACGCGCGTGCCCTTAAACTTGTGAAACATTTTACATTTCAACAGACACAACAGCAAACCAAGTTCAAGTCACAGAGCTGCCGTTTGTTTCTGTAAAACACGCTCTCCGCACGGTCTTACAGCCGTGCTTCCCTCTCAAACCACCCACAGCTGTCAAACTCATCTTCCACACTTTGCATAYGCTTGTTAATGGTTCACCAAATATACAAAACAGGGTAAAAAATCACGTCCTGGAGCAGCTACGGAGCCGCGCAGCTACYCCTCACAACACTTCTGGTCTAATGCTGAGAAAATAGGAAGAGAAGGAAAAAAAAAGTCACCTTATAAAAGTTTCCTCGAAACTCTGAGCATCACCAGTTCTGAGAATCCAGTTCTAAGAAACACAKCGGCTCAATTCTCGGAATTTCAACAGAGGGCGGAACCATTCTGCCCGGGGCGGAGGAGTCTCCGGACGTAAGTCTGCAACGCACGCAGCTTTTCATCGATTAAAAACACAAACCCGGAGCCAACAGTAGCGTTAAGATAACTTTTTAATTTTTAATATGTGGAATGTGAGGAATTATAACCCGATCCAGATAGTTTTGTGCTGGTGGGAACCCCCCCTCTGTAGTGGTACGGTCCAAGTGCAAGGTCAGCTGACCGAGTTATTATTAATACCGTGGGGAACAGGGGCGTGTTGTTGTTTCTGTACTCGACCAGAGCCTATTCACATTGTTGGAAAGTCAGCCGTCTAAACTCTCAGAATTAGTACAGTGACGTCACCCTGTGTGTGTGTGTGTGTGTGTGTGTGTGTGTGTGTGTGTGTGTGTGTGTGCTGCTATTCTGGGAAGTGGCGCTTGGAATAACCCCCTACGAGTGCGTGCGCGCGCGCGCGTCCTTGCGTCCCTGTGTGTGTGTGTGTGTGTGTGTGTGTGTGTGTGTGTGTGTGTGTGTGTGTGTGTGTGTGT